GCGCCCCCTCCCCGGATCCCCTGCCTTCCTTCGCTGCCCCTTCCCTCTGCACCCCTTCTTCCGTCCTCTCCCTCCCTCCTGCTCCCTCCCTCTCTACGGGTGTTTACTGAGCATCTACTCTGGGTACCGGCGTTACTGGGGTGAGCAGCAATCGGGGTTTGTCCCAGTCCGGGACACAGACCAGACCACACCCAAGTGACCACGTTTATGGGCGGAAGAGCTCCAGAGAGCCAGAACTAGGGCAGATTATTAGGGGTTCTCCTCTAGGGGCCTCTGAAGAGGCAGCAGTGGACAGGGACTGAGGGGACCTTCTAGGCAGTGGGAGGGCATGGGCAAAGGCCCTGCGGTGGCCCCCAGAGGAACCCACTCCACCGGCAGCCAGGCCTCTGGCTCAGGCTTCAGGGTTTGCACACAGTGGCTTTATCTCCTAACCCCAGGGGCCACCAAGGGGGCAGCCCCTGAGCAGGAGGAAAGCCTGGGGGGAGGGGAGAGGTTGTAGAAGGGGACAGGGGTGGAGGTCCCATGGGACCTGGCAGGCCACAATGAAGAGTGTGGAAATGGAGACTCAGAGCACAGAAAGTCACCGCCCAAGGTCACGTGGCCACTTTGGTTCAATAGGGATAAAAACAACTTCATGGAGCACCCCACACATGCTCTTGATGGGCCTCGGGGAGCACAGACAGGGCAGGAGCCTCCCCAAGGCAAGGTCAGGGTCAGAGTCCGTGTTGTGTCCTTTGCAAGGCCGGGGGCCGCCTGCCTTGCATCCTTCCCTGAGACCCTGTGTTAGATAGAAATCCTCTGGCTCGGGGTCCCCGTCGCCCTCTGCCTCCCAGCTGGGTCTCTTTGTTCCAGAGAAAGAGTCTGACAGGGCAGAGGAGCAAAGCCTCACACACTTGGGGAAGGTAGGGACTTGGGGAGTTTCCTCCAGCCCCCCAAAGACTTGAAGCACCCAGGGCCCTCCCCAGGAAATCATATTCAACAGCATAGACCGCACTGGGACTGGGGGCAGGCGAGGGGTTGGCTAGATGTCTGGGAAGGTCTCCTCCCTTGGAAAGTGCCGTCACCCTGCATAATATAAATTCCGAGCCTGTCACATTCAAACTTCAGGGTTGGGAGAGGGAAGGGAGGGGTCTGTGGCTGTGGCGAACATCTGGTCTACCATAGGAAGCAAGCCAAGCAGGGTGGGTCAGTGTGGAGTAAAGGGGAGGTGAGGCGAAGACCTCACTGGACCTAGAGAGAGGCCTGCGGGCCATGGTGGCAGGGAGAGCTCTACGCGGGAGCCAGAGAAGAGGCGTGTTCCACCCCTAGCTTAGATGTAGACGCGGCCTCTCCCAAACCCCCCTGCACAGGGGGAGCTGCACAGTCTCTAAGGTCCCCCAGTGTTTCCTAGTTTTGTTTTGTTTTGTTTGGGTTCTGGGTTTGTCTTTTGTTTGTTGTCTTTTTTTTTTTGTATTTTTGTTTTGTTTGTTTTAAATAAAAGAAAGCCTCTATCCTCAAGAAAACTCAACTGTGACAAATCATTGAGGACCTGCTATGTGCTGGGCACCTCCAATGGGCTGGAAAGAAAATGGGGCCTCTGCTCCTAGGGGATGCTGTTGCAGGCTGTCATGTTTCATTCTCGTGACTGGGCTGCAGAGTAGGTGTCATTGTCCCCATTTTACAGAGGAGGAAACAGACTCGGAGAAGTTCAGCGACTGCCCGAGGTCACCCAGCCGTATGTCAGGGGCCGGATTCCAGCCCAGGTTTCCTGACCCCAGGGCGGCGCGCTCTGCCCACTGCACATTGTTCATCCTCTCTGTGTAGGGCTCTCAGGCACCTCACACTTCTAGGCTCAAATGCCAGCTGCCTGGCCAGGCAGGGAGACAGAATGAGCTCCCCACCACCCCGGCTCAAACTGAGGCTCACGTCAGTCAGTGACTTGGTTAGGATCCCCAACAAATCTGCCAGGAGCGGGTACAGACCTGGAACGCATGTGGAGTGACACCTCCCCAGTGCTCTTTCCAGAACCGCCGCTGCCTCTATCCTAATGAGGCTATCAGGTGTCTGGAAGAGCAGGGCTGATGTGTCCCTTCTGTGAATCCAGAGCTCAGAGATACTGTCACTCCCCAGACCATTCAGCTCACAAACACTGCTGGACACAGTGACACAGAGATGATGGAGACAGACAAGGTCCCTCGCTCATGAGGAGCCTCTGCCCTAGTGGGGACACACAGATTTAGGAAAACTAACCTCAGCCAGTGGTAAGTGCCCTGAAGAAAATAAAGCAGTCATCTGGTGAAGAGTCAAGGGGGCACCGAGGGGTCAGGGAAGCCCCCACTCCCCCCGGAGGACAGAACGAGCTGGTGGAAGGAGCCGCCCGTGGCACCGGCACCGGGACAGAGCGGCAGAGGGAGCAGCCCCGAGCACCGAGCCCTGCTCGGGAGCTGGCATGTCCGGGTAGAAGAAGGCGCAGGGGGCTTGATTTGTCCTCGTGGGCTGGTGGGGAGCCGCCGGAGGGTTTTAACCAGGGGAGTGAGATGATGGGCATTTTTACAGCCGTCATCCTGGCTGCTGTGTGGACAGGAGCAGGAAGCCACTTAGGAGGCTACTCCTCCTACTGTCCAGAGGAAGGCCGTGGTGGCTGGGAGCTGGCCGGAATGACAGAGGTCAAGAGGATGGAGGGAAGCCCATGGGGACCTGCCCCCACTTCCGTGAGCCTCCCACACCCCTCTCCTCCGTGACCCACATCCAGGTACTTGGGTGCAAGAGAAAGAGGTGGGATAGTGTAGACAGCAGAGGACAGCTGCTGACCCCTGCAGGCATCGTGTCTCGTATGCACTGATGGAGGGGAGAGGCGCATCTCCAGAGACCACGGAGGTGGTGTCAGTGGTGTCCACGGAGGTGGCTCACAGAGGTGTGGTTTGTGAGTCCCCTTCAGGTACTGCGAGACCAGGCCACGAATGCACCGTCAAGTTTGAGAACCACTGAGCTAACCTGGTGGTTTTAGGCTTGGGCTGCACGTGGGAATCAGGTGGGAACTTTAGAAAAATCCTGAAGCCCAGGTTCCACTCGTGACCTCAGGCTCTGTTATTCAATGGTCTCTAAACTCCCCAGGCTATTGGAATGCGCAGCCAGCTGGGAACAATTTCCCCCCAAAATTGTTGCAGAATCCCTGGCACATAGTAGGACCCCAATGAATGGCACTTTTCATGAGAGGTAAATGGGCCCAGGGACCCCGTCCACAGATTTTGGCTTCAAGATCCACACTTGCCTCCAGATTCCATGACCAGGCTCCTAATCCAAACAGGAGAAGAGATACTTTTTCTTACCACTTTTAACCTTACCGCTTGCTCCTTAAAAGTCCCAGGCTTTTAAAAATTATTGAAAGTCTCTAGTGAAAATATTTTTAATTTATTTTTATAAATGTGACAAAGCTCAAATCATGCAGAGCCTGCCTCTGAGACAGTCAGCAATTCCCACTGGGAGCTCTGTGGAGCAGCAGGAGAAGAGCGGTGGGGACAGGCTGCAGGTTTGCTGGACTCAGTAGGGGACGCCCCCTGCCGCCCTCAGCTCTGCCTCCAGGGACATTAAGGAGTTTCACACCTGCTCTGGGGCGGGAGGGCTGGGAGAGACTGCAGAGAGGCTTCCTAATGACTTCCAGCAAACACCAAGGGGTTTGGGGCGATAGCTTGGAGCCAGAAGATCAAGTGACAGTCTCATTATCAGGTTGTCAAGGGAAACGGAGCAAGGCAGTGGGGACGGGGGTGAGGATCTTAAGGCGGCCAGGAGCAGAAGTCGGACAGGGACTGAAGGGAGGGTATTCGCACAGAAGGAGGCAGGCACCCATGGGAGACAGGGCGCGCCTGGCCCCGTCCAGGCTGACGAGGAAGAGAAGGCAGGAGGAGGGGTTGGCACTTCTTTGGGTGATGCATTTTAAAGCGTTTGTTGTTGTCGCAAAAAAGTTGGTTCATTTCTTCCATTCATATTTACTGCACACCTACTATGTGCCTGGCCCGGTTCCAGACCCTGGGAAGTCCAAGTCCCTGTCCTGGTGGGGCTTCCGCTCTGGGGGATGGGGTGGGGGTGGGGGGTGTTTAGTGACAACAAGCAAGGAGAGTAAGTGCAGACTGGCCTCCAGCTGGACAGATGCCCCAGAAGGGCACTGCGCGGCATCGTGACCACCCGGGGAAGCATACTCCACCCAGGCTGTCATGGGGAGCTTCCTGAAGGAAGGGGCTTCGTAAGCTGAAACTAGAAAGATAAGCAGGACTGGGTGAAGAGACCAGGGAGGGGCGCTCTCAGCAGAGGGACTGGCCTGGGCAAAGGCCTGGAGGGAGATGACACAGGGGACGCTTGAGGAACCGAATGAAGGGCTTGAGGGTGGCAGAGTGCAGGGGCGTGGGCGGGCAGGGCGAGTGAGCGTGAGGCTTCCCGGGTCATCCAGCATCGTCGGAGGCGTCAGGGGTACCAGGCCCTGGGGCAGGCGCTCAGTAGCCAGGAGATAACCAGAATCAGTCCCTGTCCTCAGGAAGGTCAGCACCAGGTGGCGGGGACACCACAGGGGACAGCAGAGATGGTGATGCCCCCCAGTGTCCACTCTGCTCCAGGTGCCATGCAGAGTTAGTTCACTGTTCCTCACTGTGACGTGGCGGTGGGTTCCACCGTCATCTCCTTCTTATGGGAGAAGAAACTGAGGCACAGCACCAGAAGGCAGAGGCTCGCTCAAGGTCCCACGAGCAGCAAGGGGCATCAGCAGGCCCTGAGCCTGCATTCTGGTTGAGCACCTGTGCTTGCCTCATGCACCAAAGAGCCCCCAGGGGGTAGAGCAGGCCTGGGAAGACAGCAGCCCGAGCTCCACTCCATGCCAGGCCCCTCTCAGCTTTCACCTGCGCCAATCCTCACCCCACCCCATGAGGACAGGACAGCCATAAATGCCAGTAGCCCCAGGGAGACTGTGGCAGGTAGGCTGTGCACACACACGAAGCTCTGTGGGCTGAGTGCAGGGGGCCACGACCAGCCCTGGCCAGCACTGGCAGGGGCGAAACTGATTTCTTCTCTCCGCTCCAGTCAGACACCCCGTTCTCACGGGGTGGGACTGTGCCCCACACTCCAGCTTAGAAGGCACCCTCGTGCGTCAGAGCACTGCAGCACATGGGCCCGGGGAGCCCTGGGAAGTGGCCCACAGCTGGAAAGGGGCAGCTCTTTAGGACACGCTGTTAACAGCACCCCTCAGAGGTGCTCACGAGGGTGCTAATGACGCTAGGGGGCTGTCTCAGTGTGTTCTGCTGCTGTAACAAAATACCACAGATGGGCAATTGATAAAGAACAGAAATGTATTTCTCACGGTTCTGGAGGCTGGGAAATCCAAGATCAAGCTGCTGGCAGGACTGGTGTCTGGTGAGGGCAGCTGCCCACTTCCAAGATGGCGCCATGATGCCGAGTCCTCTGGTGGGGCAAATGCTGTGTCCTCCCATGGCAGAAGGGACAGAGGGGACGGAAGGGCAAGAGAGTTGTCCCTTCCACCTCAAGCCCTTTTATAAGGGTGTTAGTCCCATTATAATCACCCCCGAAGGCCATGCCTCTGAATACTGGTGCGCTGGGGATTAAGTTTCAGCATGAATTCGGGAGGGGACATCATCATTCACACCGCGGCTGTGGCAGTGGCTGTGTAACTGAAAGCACCACCACGGTCAGTATGTAATGAGTATTTGTTGGGGAACAGTGTGCTCACAGCAGTGGTTGGGGGTGAGGCTGGAGCCTGAACACAGGTCCTGGCCCTGCAGGAAACTGAGCAAGTCACTGAACGTCTTTGTGCCTCAGTGTCCCCGTGTGCTCCATGAAAATGATAATGGCACCTGTGTTACAGGTTGCCATGTAGATAAGTGAGTGTCTGCACAGTGCTCAGGAGAACATCTGAAATGCATCAACTGCGGTGTATGTCGCAGAGAGGGCCGTCACATGGGACAAGGACAGAATAACCCATGGTCAGTCCCGTGTGCATCACACACACTCCATCTCTGGGATAAGGTGAGGTTCCATGACAGTCCATTCTGAAGTCTTCAGTCCAGGTCCCTGCATGCTCAGCGGGGCTTTGGTGTGGATTCATTCACAAGACAAACCCTTCCCAAGGCCGAGGCTGGGGTTGCACACCTGCTAGGTGGCAGGTGGCTCCAACAAGGTGCTACCCTCTGCTGGAAGAGTAGCCACCCCAGCAAACACATTTCTCCATCTCCAGCAGTTCCACTTTTCCAACTGTCTCTGCTTGGCCACACACCAGAGCTGTGTGCTCTGGGCCTCAGTTTCCCCATCTGTAAAATGAGAGGGTGAACTACATTAGGGTTTCCACAGTGGCTTAGCCCCACAAGGTACTCCCCGGAAAGAAATCACATCAGGAAGCACTGTTGACTCTTGCAACCCCTCTCATACAGTCACGTGATGTTTGCATATTAAGGACTGAAAAGTTCTGCAGTTTAAAAACCTCTTTGACTTTGATTAACTCCATTGTTCCCCCAGCTTCTTGACCCTGTAGTTCTTTATTTCTGTTTAACAGTTTTTAACACACTAGAGAACACAGGTCATTATGGAAATATGTGCTGAGTATGGTGGAAGGAACAGAGAAGGAAGAATTATTCTGCCCGAGGTGTTGGCATCAGAGAAAAATGCTTTCGAGCAGGCCTGGGGCTGGGACCCAGTGAAGTAAAACAGAGGGCGGCACACACGAGGGACAGAGGCGTAAAGTCACGCGGTCAACACAGGGAGTGGCGAGTGGCCCCGGCTGTGCAGGGCAGAAGCTCCTGGGTTGTAAGGTGTTTGTGCTTTATCCTGAGGTCAAAGAGAACCTTCTAGGGTTTTCAAGAAAAGGAATGATTTGTGGTCAGATTTGTGTTTCAGGAAGTTAATTTTGGCAGCTTCTGAAAGCTGGAGGGAAGAGCGACGGGGAGACCAGCCAGGAGGCCATGGCGTTAGTCCAGATGAGAGGTGATGAGATCTGAATAAGAAGAGTGGGGGTGTGGGAGGAGGTGCAGGTGGGTCCCCAGAACCTCTGACTGTGCAGGCTGAGAGAAAGGAGGTGTTTGGGGGAAAAGCAATGCCACTACCCTAGGGAGGGAACAGATTTGTAGAGGAAGGTGCCTGGTGAAACTTTGAACGTGTTGCCTCTGGGGTGTCTGTGGGACATCATGGGGACATTAGTCAGGGTAGGTCATGCTGGGCTGCAGCAACAAGCAAATCCCAAATCTCAGTGGTGTGCCCCAAGAAAAGTTCATTTCATTCATTCACAAAGTAACTGCAGAGTCACACAGCCCTGCTCTACCTTGTAGCTTTGCCATCTGGAACGAGTGGCCTCCAAGGTCACATGGCAGGAGAAGCAAGAGGCAGTCACACAGGATGCCCTGTGAGGATGGGACCTGGAGGTTGCTCCATCGCTCACATCCTGTTGGCCAGGCCTGGGATCATGGGCTCTGCCTACCGGCAAGGGAGGCTGAGAGACACAGGAGCCCGTGTATGAGGACCGTGACTGCCACACTGGCAGGGAAGCTCGGCAGCTTTTGGAAATGGCGACCA